TTAGTATCTGAAGAGACACAAGATAAATGTGTTTGCAGTATGTGTTTCAGATTCTGTTTGTCAATAAGACAAGATTGTGGGCCAGGAGGACTATAACTGGGGGAAGCATTCATTCTTTTGATTTTAGAACATCTGAATATAACTTTGAGAGTACTCAAAGATTTGGGAGTCAATTCAATAGTTTGGTCATGGACTAACATAAAAACAAGAACAAAACCCAAGCAAAACTGAAATGATCTATCAACAGCACCATACAGAAAATATCAATTTCAAAGTATTTGTCATGTATGGATATAGTTTACTATTGTTCATAGTAAACTATATGGACCCAGAAACAGATGAGAATGGCCAAAAGACTGAATAAAATAATGCTATTGTTTAAAACTATGTGGAACGTTGTTCCCAATCAAAGCTAAATGGCAGGAGTCTGGAAAATGATTTTTTTTTGAAAGATGTCAGCCCGCATCTAATTTTAATATGGCAGAATTCAGCAACATGCAAGGAAGTGCCATCTGAATGATCTGAAAGGAGAGCTTGCATGTAATAAGGAGCTACGTGTCCAGGATATTTTTCTGTATGAAAGCAAATGAAATGAGCTGCCTGAAATATAATAAAAGATGAACACAATAGATCATATCGTGTTTGTGCACAAGGCCGTAATTGGGCAGCACAGAGTATTTTATTTTATTTCTACCTGCCTTCTAATACAATCTCAGGATGCTTTTTTTCAGGAGGCAACTGGACTTTCTGGTTTTTCTTCGAAGACATTTCACTTCTCATCCAAGAAGCTTCTTCAGCTCTGACTGGATGGTGGGGAATGGAAGGATTTAATGTCTTCAAAGAAAAAGTTGCCTCTTGAAAAAAGCACTTTGGGACAACCATGTCCTGAGAATCTCCATAGACTTCTAGTACAATAGTTGGCAGAGCATAAAGCCGATATCAAAGCTCTTATCAGCTGGAAACTGAGATAGAATTTAAATATCTCACAAGTCTGAATGAAGACGAACTATTTAAGGCAACATCTTAGAAAAAATAATATAGGATGCTTACACCTTGGTGATTCCCTCCCTCCCCCACAGCATTTGGCAATACATACAGCACTGACCAGGTTAAGGAGATAACTGTAGTCACAACAAACAAGCTGAAAACTGCAATCAGGAATACCTTGTCATAATAATCCACTTGGGAGTGCCTTTTATTGTGTAAACTCTTTGGTAATTTGCTTTGTCCCTGAGGTCCTGCGCTTGGATTAAATGCAGAAAAATGAAGTACTCATGAGGAAACTTCCAAGTGGCCTTTTCAGACCAGAACTGAGGAGCATCAAAGGAAAGGAAAGATGTATAGCAGGAAACAAGGTCAATGAACACATTCTAAAGCACTCTGATAAATGAGCCAAGTATCAGGAACTCAGATGATTAATTGTAGGACATATTTAGATTTATTTATTTCAGCTAAACTATTTTTCACTGAAAACTTTTCAGCTTTAAATAAGCACAACACAAAACTCATGAGTTTTAAGTAATTAAGTAATTAAAGTAATTAAGTAATTACTCTAATTCTAAAGAACAGAGATTATTGTTACAGCTTTAGAAGCTTCTGGATTTCTTTAAATTAACTTTCAGTGAAATAGTTCTGAATGAAATATTTGGAAAGCAGTTATGAATTAATGAGTCATTGTTTCCATTCTAGCCATTATTTGCATACCATGGTCAGTGAATACCAAAAACTGTACAGATGTAATGGCATGTCCTAGTGTTCAAAATATGTGTTTATGCGAACTGTTTGGCTAAGAGTTAAACAAATATGACTAAATTATAGCATAGCTTCTACAACTGCTATATTTAGAACAGCATAAGGAATTCTCACTATTCACACGAGTTTAAGGGGAAATCAGAATGAGCATTTTTTTTGTCACCCACATAAGGTTTTAGCCAGTCTCTGTCTCCTAACTCCTCTTTTTTTTCTTTCATAACTCTAGTCATTTTCATTAAATAACAGAACTTACCCCAGTTTGGAAGATGTGCTGAAGACTGCTCCATCAAAATAGCATTAGTGGGAAAATTTGTAGTCAACTTAGTATGATAGACTTGTGGAGCAACAAGGTCACACGCTTTGTGCAACAAGGTCACATAGTGTAATAAGATTAGGACTGGGTTAGAGACTTCTGTCCTCACTGTGAGATGTGTTTTGGGTGGGGTGCACGAAGGGAGCCTCAGCAAATCTCATTGTACACCTTGTACTCTGACAATAAAGGTAATAAATAAATAAACTTTGATCACATCCTATCCAGGACTTAGAAAGCTCTTAAAGGTACAGAACTCTGCAGAGCCACAAGGAAATCCACCGCAAATGAGGAAAACAGGAATAATTGCCTATACGATCATTTTAGCTAGTGGAATAAACACATTCTAAACATTATTGTGGGAGTTCATATTTTTGTAGTAAAATATTGGCAACTGAAGAAATTTATGGAGCTCTTGGTGTTCTCTGAGATTTATCTCTTGACAGAGATCAATTAAGTTTCTGACCCTGCAATTTTGGAATGTTTAATCAAAGTGAGGCCTATCTGGAGTTATTGCTACAAATAGAAACCCCACTCCCCATTCGCCAGCAATGCCTTTAAGTAGAAAAGTAGAAAGCAGGGGATACAGTTGAAACTGGAAGCATCTCTCCACAAATAGGGGACTAGTAATATTTCACATGACGCAGGGGCACATCTGCAATTTCTTCTGCTAATTTTCCTTGGACTTTCAGAGACTAATTCATTCCATTATATATTTTAATCCACTCGTGCAAGAAAACTGATGACATATGTATCTCTTTTGCTGAGAGCTACACTGTTAGAAGTTCCATTGGAGAATAATATGTATTCTATCAGCAAGCACTGTTCAGAAATTAATCAGATGGCAAGCGATTATGGACAGATCATGAAATTGCTAGGTTTCTGCCTGCACAATTACACAGTAGGTGGAATTTGGGGGAAGTACATATAAGGCTAAATTTATCAGGGGCATATCTATCAACTGACTGGGGAAATTGCTGCTCTTGAATTTCTGTCTGGAAATGAAATTCCTCCAGCACAAATTGACCTGAAGGATTAAAAGGAACAGGGTATAAAGCCTTAGTAAGACCACACCTAGAGTACTGCATCTAGTTTTGGTCACATTATAAAAAAGGTGTTGAGACTCTAGAAGAAGTGCAGAGAAGAGCAACCAGGATGATTAGGGGTCTGGAGACTAAAACATATGAAGAACGGTTACAGGAACTGGGCTTGGCTAGTCTAGTGAAGAGAAGGACCAGGGGAGACATGATAGCGGTCTTCCAATATTTGAGAGGCTGCCACAGAGAGGAAGGAGTCAATCTAAAGCACACGAAGGCCAGACAAGGTACAATGGATGGAAACTGAACAAGGAGAGATTTAACCTGGAAATAAGGAGAAATTTTCTGACAGTGAGAACTATCAACCAATGGAACCACTTGCTCTCGGAAATTGTGGGAGCACCATCACTTGAGACTTTCAAGAGATTGGACTGCCATTTGTCAGAAATGGTGTAGGGTCTCCCGCTTGGGCTAGAATTGGAAAGGACCTATAAGGTCCTTTCCAATTCTGATTATCTGTTAAATCTGTTAAAAGGGTGTAAGAATCATGAGCTGTAAATCCCTCAGGGAGTACAAAACTGAACAAAACCTTCATAGCTTACTTACATTGAACAGAATTTGAGAATTTAATTATGTATTTCAGTTTCCTGGATTGGTTTATTTTTTGAAGCATGTCTGGCATGCTCACAGCTTAACCTATGTGCTTTTTAAAAAATGAATGGCTTGGCATGCCTTTTGTTGTAAGAAACTTTTATTAGCACTATTCTGTTTGCCATTTTAGTTGGAAGGTAGATTCATGCATGTAAGAAGGCAAAGAATTTAGCATGAGTTCATTTTAAATTATAGAGCTTCAATGAATCTACTAGAGCAATTAAGAGCAGTTTTCCAAAATCTTTCTCATTTTCTGAAACCCCTCATTTAACAAAACATAACTCAAGAAATTATGACTGCTTTATGTATGGAGCTTCAGATGCAAGATGGTGGGATACTGAATTAAAGACTTTTGGAAGGTGAACAGCCAGGAGAAAATGCAGACAACTCAGTGTCAATACCCAAGATAAGAATCAGGAGAGGCCACGGGTAAGGAAATTACAAACAGAAAGTAAAGAGACTAAAGGGAGGGAAGTTAAGTAGATTAAAGCTTAATTTCTTATATTTTTTTCTCCTATTCTGGAAACAATATTCTACTTTTATATGTTAGAACTTCATACTACTTCATTAGTACGGAAATCAGTGCCAGAATAAAATTCCTCATTTGAGGGATCCTTGGTGCTCTCTGAGCTGGCTAATTCTAGTTTGGGTAATGAAATGTCTGCAAGAAAATAAGCAAGCTCAGGGAGCACCATGGACCCTTCATATCAACCTTGAGCTACACATATTCTCCTTTATTAATGCCTCATTTGTTTAACTACTTATTCTCTCTGTATATCTGTATCAGCTCCTATCCCGAGTCACCCTCCAACATACTGAAACACAATAGAATATTCAATAAAGAACTATTTTAGAGGCACGGAAAGAGCTGGAAGTTGGGCTTTGTTGCAAACCTCCCCTCCCCCCCCCTCCAATGGAGGAATTGGATCTTCCTATTGTAAGACTGCTAGCAATTAGAGGTCACATGAAAAAAGTGCCAACACCAGAAGCAAAACATCTTAGTCCCATTGACATGTGTGGGATGCTTAATTAAAATGAATGTAAGATTAAGTGAATGTAAAAACAGCTCCATGCAATTTTGAGCTAGGACCAGTGATGTTCAATTCAAGGATGTGAACACTTTTAATCTAAGCCAAATTAAAGTCATTTAAAAGCAATGTGTATTTTAAGTGGTCTGATTTATTACAAATAGCCACAAATATGCTAGCTTTTTTTCTAATTGTGTTTTCTTTACCAGAAGCAACAACGTGTAAAGATTTTTTTTATTAAAAACAAAATCAAGATTTTGAACAAAAATATCACAGTACGTTAATATTGTACAATAGTTATGGTGACAGAGTTACAAAAATTTGAAAAGGCACTTTAAAAGTTCACAATAAAAAAGGATAAACTAAAAAAAAATATTCGTCAAAGAATGCAGCATTTTAATTGAGACACTACACGTGCCACTTGTTACAATCCTTCAGACTTCATACAAGTACAGTAAATTGTAACAGGACCCACTTCTAGCAGTAGAAGTGCCATTAAAGAAATACCTTTTATAAATTTTTCATAAGCAAATACTTTTGGAAAAATTCAGTTATCAGTTGTCAATTACTGAAATCTTGCGAACTTTAACTGTGATTTCACACATTACAAGGATTAGAAACTACTCTCAGCATATATAGCCTGAATAAGGAAACAGAGGCAGCGCTTAAGACAAGCAGGCAAAACAGCCTTCAACAAAATAATACTGATTCCATAATTACAGCATAGTGATAGAGAGATGTATTCTTTGTAAGACATATATGGAAGTAAAAACATAGACTGAGACATGCTGTCATAAAATCCAAAGCTTGCTAAAATAAGGTACTATATTTCTAATGGGTAGGAATAAGGGGGCAAACTCTTTCAGCCTTACAGGTAATCCTTGTCTTACAACTGGTCATGTCATAAAATCACATGACGCCCTGCTTTATAACCATCATGACTTATGACCATAAATGGCAGGCTTCATTATGGTTGTAAATTGAGGACTGTCTGTATTTACAAAGAGTACAATAGCAGAGTTTAAGACAAACTGCAGAAATCAATCATTTTCTCTTCCTAGGCACAAAGAAGTATTCCATTATCCACATATATACTTTTTAATTTTCTGATACCCTTTCATTTTTCTGTAACATAATGCAGTCCACTTCTCTCAGATGAGCGCACTTTATCATGTTAAGATTGTAATTTACAGTATCTCCAGCAAGTGTGGGCATAAATCAACATCTCTCAAGATCAGTGGTATGGAAAAGACCGATACAAGCCATTTATGCAGAGGAGATACATTTTTCTGAAGAGAAATGTTCAGTGGTGTGATTTGATTTTTTTTACTACCGGTTCTGTGGGCGTGGCAGGGGAAGGATACTGTAAAATCTCCAGTCAGAGGTGGTATTTGCCAGGTCTCTGAACTACTCAAAATTTCTGCTACTGGTTCTGCAGAACTGGTCAGAACCTGCTGAATGCTACCTCTGGAAATGTTCCTGTGTTAAGCTCACTCTAAAATCCCTGCACAATAAGGGAAAGCCCTACAGAATTCACTCTTAATTATTCTGCAAGTATCTTAAATAGATAATGGAACTGAAATTGGGAGAGTTAGAAGACACAAAGGTGACAGAAATATTAATCAAACACCAAGACTACAATTCTGTAGGCATGGAAAACTATTAACAATAGGAAAAAAGCTCCCAAAACATGTATCTCTTGGCTGGGTATTTCTGAACAGGGACTACAGTTCTCCGAATTTATCTAATCTCATAGCGTTGGCTGGTTTTATGAACTGCGCTGATTTATTTTGGGTTTTGTGTCACTTTATGTGGAGCAAAGTTGTTTTCTTTTGGATTGCTTTAGCTATGCAAAGATTGGGAGCCATCTCTTTTTTTTCCTGGGGTGTTATCCCAGGATTTAGGCTTTCTTCCTTACCAAATTACTTCCATACCACTATATAAAGAGTTTTGAAATGTTTCCACTTTCATTCAAGTTTCTAGGATGCCAAACGTATTACAGATGTTTATTTCAAGACAGAAATTCATCTCTCTCTCTCTGTCCTTAAGTAGTTGAAAAATTACTTTTAATTGAGAAATGGATTGATTCAGAAATGGCAGCAAAGCACCCATTTAAAATGAAACATTACTGTGATATTTCCTCTTTCTAATAGTATACTCAGGCTGGTGAGACTCTAATCAAAATACCACCTTGATCAAAACTATATGGGTCTATAAGAAACTGATTGTCAGTTAGATAAGAAAAATGGTTAATGTGGGGAGGAATGAAATGCCCCATTTAAATAGCCTAGAGCAGGGCTATGTAATTTAATGTCTCTCCAGCTGGATTTAAATTCCCAGCAGCCTCTGGATGCTAAGGGCAAGAGAGTCTGGGAACTACAGATAAAAATAGAGGAGGTCACCACATTATTTATCTTTGCTTGGTCCGAGTTCTGGTCTGAGTTCTTTTTTAAGAGCGTGACATGCTGTAATATTTTGGTGCAGAACACAGAAAGCTGATAAATGATCCCATTCAACAATCTCCATGCAACAGAGAATACAAAATATATATTTTTTGTATAGTGACAAAATTCCAATGAAATTCAAATATTTGCACTGTGATACTGAAAGACTATGCAACTGCTGCATAATGGACAAAAACAAGGGGATTATTGAACAAGGTGGCCCATTTCCTGCTAAAGAGCTATTTCCCTATTACTTGGAAAACATATTTTGTTTCAAAACAGATGTTACTTTTCTGTACTAAGCTGGAAAAAGATTAGCCCATTTTAAATTGATTTTGATGAAATTATGGCCAAATAATCCCTCAAACGATTGTCCCTATTTAGTTCAATTGTATTCCTGATGCTTACTTTTTTAAGTTCTTTCTTAGATTCACCCCTACTTTTTCTTTACAAAAAGGTCATCTTTGAATTGCTTGAATTTCTTGCACTTCTCAAAGTGCTGTAAATAAACTGTGACCCACCCCTCCAAACAGATATATCAGAATAATATCTTCAGAAAGAACTCCACGTGAAAAAGGCAATCTGAAGAGGCTTCCAGAGACACACACAGTAAAAGTCCATTTAATAGGAAGCCTTTGGAGGATCCATATATGCTGGATTATAAGGGGGTTGAGCTGGAGGAGCTGAGGCACCAACTGTAAAAGAAACAAACAGACAAGAACAAGCAGGTTAGCAGCTTACTTTATCATGTTTATTTCTGCATAATTCTTAGATTTTCATCACGTGCTAGTGTCCATATAAAGTAGTCATGAAATCAGTTGCAGAATGAAGCATATTAAAGTGAATTAATGTCCATGGGGAACTATCCTAGGAAAAGAAGCCTTCCTTGTTGGGCCAAAATGTCTCCTTAATCCCCATCTAGATCTCCTTCTCTATTGCTAATTGAGTTGATTACCTGCTGCTGTAGAACAACACTCCTTCTTAGAGAGGTAGTCCTCAAAGTACATTTGTTTAGCAACTATTTGAACTATTTTTTCACTGAAAAAAAGTGACTTACAACCAGCCCTAGAATTTACGACTATCACAGAGTACCCATGTTCACATGATCAAAATTCAGACATTTGGCAACTGGCATGTATGTATGTATGATGGTTGCAGCATCCTGAGGTCATACAATCACCATTTGTGACCTTCCCAGCCAGCTTTCAACAAGAAAATCAATTGGAGTGTGTGTGTGTGAAACATTCACTTAACAACTGTAGTGATTCACTTTAACAACTGTGGCAAAAAGGTCATAAATTTGGATTTGACTCACTTAATCACCTTGCTTAGTAATGGAAATTATGGCCCCAGTTGTGGTCGTAAATTAAAGACAAGTTGTATCTGAAAAGTTAAATTGTTGCTTCTTTCTTCTCTATAACAATGACACTGCTAGCCTTTTCAAATCCCTGAAAGAGTGCTTCACTTTGATGAAGTACAAACAAAGATTTTGGAAGATCTTTTATGAAGCAAAGTTTGTCTATGGGAAAAGACTAAGAGAAGCCATCCTCTACAGTGCTGGTCAAAGTCCTTCTAGATTGGGATGTCTCTGCAAACACTGTAGGAAGACTATGGAGTGCACTGAACCAATAATGTAGCATGAGTCAAAGCAATCTGCCCTAAAGCCCCTGTCTCATAAACCAAAGCTCTTCCAGGCAGAGAGGCTTCAGTGTCTGCTGAATTCTGCATCCTGTGTTGAATTCATCCAACCTGGAAGCATTTGGGCCAGTACTAAAGCAGATGTTTAAAAGAAAATTTCTAGCACAGTGTGGCTCACTGCTCAGCTCTGTTCTTTAGGAAAGGTGACCACAGTGGAATAAAACCATCAGTAAAAAAGGGGGGATTTCAACCAGATAGCTTCAGAAGAATTTACACAGAAGTGATGGTTTATTTGTATTAAAGAAGCTGAGTTACCCAAGACAGCAAACATGAATTTATATTTTGAGGCTGGACATATTTTGAAAAGAAAGCGAGAGAAAAACTTGCCATTACCACACATTTGTTTCCTTTTTCTTTCCAGCATCTTTCCCCGCTTCTTTCCTTACCTGCCACGGTTTCCTGGTATGGCGGTGGCCTTATAGGTTGCGTAGGATAGGGCGGAGGGTACTGGGTTGGGTAGGATGCTGGTGGCATTCCAGGCTGGGGCTGTACCGGTAGTGGATTGTATCCTTGGTATGCTCCTCCAGCATAAGCAACTGGTACCCCAGGATGCTGAGGGTAAGGCACCTGTATCACACTTGTGGATGTAGTCACAACAGCTGTAAAACACAAGAAGGGTATTTAGGGAGGAATAAGCAGAGGAATGTGGTTGTTAGGAATCAGGGCATCTATGTGGTTACTAGCAGTAGAAAATGACTTGACGGCACATAATCAATTGATCAATCAATCGCAATGTAATGGGTATGTGGGAAAAATCTTTGGAGAGGGAGTAAAGCGATAATACGTAGGGAATGATCAGATACGAGGCAGCACAACCTGCAGCTGGACAGTGGGCAGAGCAAGAAGCTCAGAAGGGGCTGTCCAAACTTTTTCAAGCTGTCAAGACGACAGCAGAATTGTACTTTCAGACTTTCAGATTCTGTTGATGTTTCTTTACAATAAAGTAGAATTAGTTTCTCTGGTTATGTTTTCCTGTCTGGTTTACCTGGTAAGGCTGACACAGGACAGGAAGGAAAGTCAACATTTCCCCTCTTCCCCTGTCGTGCTGGTTTTATAACTTGTTTTTTCAAATAAGTTTTGAGACTTCCTCCATGGACATGAGGTAGAAAAAGAAACTTATCATTCCTCCCACCAGAAAGGTTACTTCTACTGAAAAGGCACACCAAGAAAAGATGTCTGATCTTCTGGTATCTTACGTCCCATGTCCGCTAATATCAACCAGATACTTAGAAGCTGTAAGCCGACCTTTCCATCTTTATTCAGGCATGTCAAGACTACAAGGCCCAGAATTCCCTTCAGGTATGCTCACTGGAATCTCTCAGCTCCTGGAGATTTCTGAGAATTATAGTCCTAGATTAAGCAAAGACACCTGACACAATAAGGCTGAACTCCCTTAAGTCTGTCACACGTGCAGAGAGCCAAAGGAAACAGCATCTCTGATGACTGAGGTAAATGTTCATACCTTGTTCGTTCCTTGATCTAAGGCTAGTTACATTTTAAACAAGTGACTTTTCACCTATTTTAAAAGAAGTGTTTCGGAGAGACGTTCTGCTGTGTCTGCTATTCCTCCCCAGTGCGCTCAGCAACATCACTCATAATTTTCCTCAAACAGAGCAACAATTCAGTCAGGGAGGATACTTACGCTGTGGCCTCCTTCGGCAGGCTTTATACAGGCAGCAACATGAGCAGGTGAAGCAGAGAATGATGCCTACTACAAACACGACGAAAATTGAAATACCAATTGCTATAAATGTCCCACTGAAAAACATTGAGAATGCAAGTTAGGAATGAGTTAAAGGCGTCAGAAAATAACACATTTCCCCCAAGAGCATTTTGCTATTGTAAATGCAAACAAAAATGGAAGCCATGTCAGGATAGGATCGAAATGCAAGATTTATGCATGGTTAATCTCCATCTTTCAGATAACTTTCTTGGAAGATAACTCATCTTTCATAACTTTCAGAGGGGTAATTTTGTTAGTTTACTGCCATGGAGAAGAAAAAAAAAATCAAGGAGGCATGCACAAAAAGGAGTTTCCCTTCTTTTAAAAGTATACCACCATAGACGTAAAGCATGTAAAAAAGTGAAAAAGAGGTGAGGCTCATTTGCATAAATGCCATTCTGACTTCTTTTTACACCACTTTTTTACTTCTTATCTACTGCTACATCAATCAACAACTTTGATGCACCCAGAAGTTGCAGACTACAAATCTGATCAGCCCCAGCCACTGCACGGGGATTATAAGACATGCTGCCCTAAACAACTGGACAGAACAAGGTTGCCATCTCGGCTATGAGCTTCCCTAGAGTAAGCCTTACTAAATGTGTCTACATAGTCACATTTATTACATTAAATCTAGACAATCTCTTTTTTTCAGGAGACCACCAAACACTTCATTAGTTTAAGTCCGTGAAGTTAACTTTAAAGAAAACAATAAAGAATTTCACTTCAAGGACTTTACCCACATGATGGAGTAAAAAAAAAAGTTAACAGAAATTTAAGATTATGATTCAGAAATGCTTATTCATAAGGCAATATTTATGACTTCCCTTTACAAAGGAAAACTGCATTCCAGTGAACTGTAAACTGCATATGCAAATAAACTATTTAATGAGTTTATCCTGGTATTAATCTTTAATTTACTATTTTATTTATTAATTAGATTTTATCCCTTTATTACTTTATTAGAAATTCAAGGCAGTGAACATTCCTAATATTCCTCCTTCCTCCTATTTTCTCCACAACAAGGCGAGTTGAGGCAAGGGTGAGTGAGGAGCCCAAAATCAAAAGCAGGCAGGATTTCGGCCTAATATTCAAGGTACCAGGCTAGAAAACAGGTAACTAAAATCACAGTTATCTGGTTTCTAGCCTAGTACCTTAAACACTAGACTAAACTGCTGCCTGCTTTTATTTTGAGCCTTTGCTTTCTGCACGTAAATGAAACTCTCTCATCTCTTCCCTTGGGGGAGCCAGTGGTTGCTCAGACTTCATGCACTTTACACTCAGACCAAATTGTTCCCATCGTCCTTTTAACAGGCTGACTGCTCCTATGCTGACTTGGCTCACGTTCATTTGACCTCTTAACTCCTGGTGTGGTTACCTGTGGTAATATACTCTGAGTCTATCCAAATGCCAGCCTTTCAAAGAAAGCAAAGTCAAGGAACAGACATGGCAGGGATCCCAGAAATTCTCCTTCACTGTTGGGGTGTACATTAACTAAATCTGGGAAGCTTGTCCAAAACTTTCATTGCCCCCTTTTTAAGGACAAGTCTGTTAAGGGAGGGCTACTCCCAAGAGACTCTTTGTCACACTTTCTACTTTCCTAGGGCTAAGCAACCATTGTCTATTTTCCTCGTCCTCGTCCTCAAGACCAGAGCTAAATTTTTATATATAGCAACTGAATGTGCAAAATATTTGCTTATGGTTTTTGCAATGCTGACAAATCCTTCAGCAAGGACATCTCATAAAAGCACAGCCAGTGGTGAAAAGTAAGATCAGAGTCTTGACTTGGATTTTTATCCCATAATAAGTTTACTATAAATTTTAAATAAATATAGATATGAATGGCTTTTGAAGTGTGCATTAGTTTATAAATACAGAAAACATTTTTGGGGGATAATGATTCTCCAAGCCTCATTTCCCCATGTTCTATTCTACAACGGAAATAATACTCCTATAATGTTATTTTTTAAGAATCCAGATGTAACTGGTTATTTCACAATAAATAATAATTGCATGTAGTCCTCAGTCTATGTCTGACGCATGTTTGATATTTTTTTCTCCTGAAGGAACAATATTTATCCTGCCAACTCTAGATGATTCTGGTATATGGAATGCAAACTAGTTCCAAATGATTTGTGTGATCAGGAGAGATCTTTATGGCTATTACTCCCCACCCTTTTCCTAAGTTAACCAATAATTTAATATTTAACATTTTCAATCAATTCTAAACTCAGGACTAGTGATTGTAAACACCTTTATCCATGCAATGCAGACACAAAGGAGAACATATTGTGACGGTCAATTTTATGGTAAATCAGACTAAAATGGTAAAGACTGACCTAAGTCAATTAGAGGAGTTAATGATTAATTTTATATGGAATGGGCAAATAGCAAAGAGATCTCCTTTAAAGCTACAGCTTGATATTTTGGTGGTAATTTCAATTTTCCAGATTTTAATCTTGATTATATGATATACTTATTCAGATCAGTACCAAGTAATGGCCTGACAATGTTAACAACAATAACACTATCAGAATCTTCTAACAAAATGAAATTCAATGTAGACACAAAAGTCATACACTTAGGCAAGAAAAACCAAAAGTACACATATAGATGGGTGAAAACAGGCTTAATAGCAGTAACTGTGAGAGGGATCTTGGAGTCTTAGTGGACAACCAGCTAAATATGAGCCAGCAGTGTGCAACAGCAGCTCTAAAAGCTAATGCAATCCTAAATTGCATTAACAGAGGGATGCAATCAATATCAAGTGAGGTACTAATACCACTCTGTAAAGCCTTAGTAAGACCACACCTACTGCATCCAGTTTTGTTCACCACATTATAAAAAAGATGTTGAGACTCTGGAAAAAGTACAGAGAAGAGCAACCAGGATAATTAGGGGACTGGAGACTAAAACATACGAAGAACGGTTACAGGCACTGGGCATGGCTAGTCTAGTGAAGAACCAAGGGAGACATGACAGCAGTCTTCCAATATTTGAGGGGCTGCCACAGGGAGGAAGGGGTCAAGCTATTTTCTAAAGCACCCATAGGCTAGACAAAGAACAATGGATGGAAACTGAACAAGGGGAGATTTAACCTGGAAATAAGGAGAACCTTTCTGACAGTGAGAAAAATCAACAAATGGAACAGCTTGCCCTCAGAAGTTGTAGGAGCATCATCACTTGAGACCTTCAAGAAGAGATTGGACTGCAATTTGTCAGATATGATATAGAGTCTCCCGCCTGGGCAGGGGGTTGGACTAGATGACCTACAAGGTCCCTTCCAACTCTGATTGTCTGTTATCTCAATGAAAATCAAAGTTACTCTTTTGTGCCTTACTGGATAGTTAGTATACTTCATCCTTTGAAATTCGAGCAAATTCTTGGTTCCAATTAGAGAGGGAATTCAGTACTACTGCCAACCTTTAAGGTAATTAGACATACAGTATTTGGACAGTATTGGGCTAGAAACTAAATGTGAGACTATGATCTAGAACAAGCCTATTTAAAATGGCAGGAAAATTATTTGTGGTGGTGGTGCAGAGTAAGTGGGGACTGTTATACTTAAATGCCTCGAAATTTTCCAAAAGAAATATGATTTACCTAAAGCCAGTTTGGTATGGTGAAGTCATTAGACTACAAACCAGAAGAAACCAGGAAATTGTGATTCTAGTCCTGCCTTTGACATGAAGCCAGATAGGATACTTTTTTTTAGTTCTAATTAAGGTTTGGCTGTGACAAACCTTTTCCAAAACTCTTGCCAAGAAAATGGCATGAACTTGTCTAGGCATCCACTAGGAATGAAGACTAACTTGAAGATATACACACATGTAAAAGCTGATAGTTGATATATAGTACCAAATATATACTACCTGGTCAATGGTGTGCTATATTATGATACCAAATATATAAATGGGGGGCTGTGAGATGGTTGTTTTGTATGTAGGGCACTGGTTTTTCTCCTGAAGTTTTATTTTTATTCGTAATCATGTTGGTTTTAGCTGTTTAATTGTTTTAACTGTCACCCAACTTCATATTTGTGAGATGGATGATTATATAGCTATGATCATAAATAAATAATGACCGGCATACATACAACCATTATGATCTGGATGCAGCTAATAAACCTCCATCTAGTTTAAATATATATATTTTTAAAGAGGGTAAGCTAGGAATCCCACACTGTCACACTTTACAAAAATAAATGTAGAGTTGGCCATATTAACAAATGAATGCTTTTAATGAATATTGAATGTTCTTATGGCCTATTATTGGACTCCTCAACCAAATTTTTTAATCTGATTATGATCCATATTTAGATCTAATACAACCTTAAAGCTAAGGTGGACCAAATTCTTGGAAGAAACTGAAGTTTTAAAGATGTTAATATATTGTTAAATTATATCCCCAAAAGGTTGATTTTTTAAAAAAATATTTACAATAAGCTTTGGTTATATATTCCTTGGGCACAGAGAAGTATGGAATGGGCGTTGGTTCTTACCTGATACGCCCCTTCTCGGCGAGCCGCAAGGAGCATCCAGAGACTGGGATGTGCTTCCGAGTCCTCTTCTTGCAGGCTGAGCTTTAGATGAGGAAACGCTCCGCCCCCTCACGTGACATCGCGGAGCGCCTCCCCAGTTTTTGCGATAACGAGAAGAGAGGTTATTGATTCTTTCTAATCTACTATTGGCTCCTTGGCTGAAGAGAGAGCCCCCACCAGACGGAGAAATTAGGGTGGGGCTGGATGCTCCTTGCGGCTCGCCGAGAAGGGGCGTATCAGGTAAGAACCAACGCCCATTCTCCCTCGAGCCGCTCGGAGCATCCAGAGACTGGGACATACCAAAGCTGGGCTGTCCTACGGGTGGGACTCCGTCTGGCCCGAAGGCCCCTCCGGATCACTGATGACCCTCTGTAAGACCCGACGGCCAAAAGAGGCCTCCGCTGAGGCGTACGTATCTATTTTATAATGTCTGATAAACGGGGACGGAGAGGACCAGGTGGCTGCCCGACAAATGTCAGCGATGGGGGCTTGTGT